AGCCAAGGCTCTTCTCAGCTCAGACCCACCTAGATGCTTCAACCTCAATATGCCCAAAACTGAGCTCATTATGTCTCCACTCTAGGTCCTCCTCCTCCCGTGTTGCCATCCAGTGAGTGAAGCCATCAATCATCCAAGAAATTTTCCTCTCTGTAGCCAGTTATTTAAAAATGCAAATGTGATCATTTCACTCTCTTGCTTAAAATTAATCAATGATTTCTCATTTCCCATAGGAGAAAAAAATCCAAAATTGTTACCAAGTATCACAAAGTTTCTTGCTCTGGCTTACTTTTCTGGCCTCATCTCCCATCTCTCACCTTCACCCATATTAGACGGTATATGCTTCATATTTCCTGTTTGTCCTTCCATGTCCTCTTTCCATCCTCTGCACCCTGCTCTGTGCCTCAGGTGGCTCACCTGTAAGGAACATAGCAATGGGCTCTCTTTTCTTCTGGTTATTAGTTGGTTTGGGCCTAAGGAAGGCACCGGCAGAGATCAGAGGGAAGGAGTGTCATAGACCAGGGTATTTATTCCCCCAACTTTCTCCCTGTGGGATTGACATAAGTTGGCACTGACCCTCTGTTACAAGGTCAGCTCGTTAAGACAGCCTGTCCAAACAGCCTTTCTATCTCTAGGTTCAGTAGCCACTCACTCCCTTCTATTTTAGGCCTGAGTGATGCTATCCCAGAATACTGCACTATCCTTTATATGCTCTCTATATCCTACTTATACTTTTATAACTAGTGCCATATTAAAGGCTCCTCAAATTTTGCAATTTTTATGTGCATGAGTTTCCTGCTAGGACCCTGACTAATATTGTCTGCATTTTGATCCAAAAAAGGTGTCTATTTTTACTTAAATGTTACTTCTTCAGGGAGGTCTTCCTAGCCCCTTTGATTCAGGTATAACTTCTTGATAAACTTCCTACAGCACCCTGTACTTCCCCTGTTACAACATCCTCCACCCTTAGTGGCCATCACTGAATGGGTGTTGATGTTGTCTTCCTTAATAGGCTCCACGTTCCACGACATCAAGGATTGAGTGTGTCTTGCTCATTACTGTAGCCTAAGAGTTCACCCTGGGACCTGAAACATGGTGGATTCTCAATAGTTATTTTTTTAATTCATAAATGGATGGGTGAATGAATGAATGAATGAATGAACCTACTTTCATTCAAAAGACAGTATTGCATCAGAAAAATATAAAACAAAATTTGCTGGAAATACAAGACAATTTGACCATATATTAAGCATGGGATTCTTTAATATCTATTTCACAGAGAGAGAAAGAGAAAGAGGGAGATGAAAAANGTATGCAAGTAAGAGAGCACAGATCAAAGTAACTAAAGAAAAATACCAAAAAATATTGTTGGCTAAAAAATCTGGAATACCCAGATTAACTACTTTCTCAGGAAGGGCTGGACTCAAATATTCAAATAACGCCACCAATACATGTTTATTATTTGGTTCTTCCTTACTCCATTTTGGCTTTAATCTGAAGCACAATCTGGTCACAGTGACAGCAAACACACCACTAGGAGTCTCAGACTTATACCCTGCTGTATCTGTTTCCTATTGCTGTTGTAACAAATTACACAAATTGAGCAACTTAAATAATACAAATTTATTATCTTATCTTTTAAAAGTTGGAAGTCTCGCTGAACTAAAACCAGGTGCTGGCAGGGCTGTGTGCCTTCTGGAGTCTCTAGGAAAGGCCAGCTGAAACCCTGAGCCTTTTCTAACTTCCAGAGGCTGCTGCACTCCTTGGCTCATGGCAATCTTCCATCTTCAAAACCAGCAATCGCATCACTCTAGTTTTTGCTGCCATTGTCACTTCTTCTCTGACTCTTTTGACCCTTCTGCTTCCCTCTTACAAGGACCCTTGTGATTACATTGGACTCACCACATAGTCCAGCATAATCTCCTCATCTCAATATGCTCAATTTAAGCACATCTGCAAGGTCCCTTTTGCCCTGTAAAGTAACATATTCACAGGTTCTGGAGATTAGAGCACGGGCATCTTTAGGGAACCATTAATGCTGCCTGTCTTATGTGTCAATTTAACAACTCCAGCAGAAGGAGCAGA